GGTGTTAAAGTGGTTCCCCTGCGAGTTGCCAAGGACTGGTCCACCACCAACCGTCAAACAAGTGGTGACTACCACTCCACGAACCACCACAACAACCACTACAACCACAACACCTGCTCCAGTGCAATACCATTCTCCAAATTGTGATTACTGGTACATTGAAAATGGTGTGTATAAGTGGTATGCTTGTTCCACAACCCTGCCTCCATCTACAACACATGCAGCAATGGGATTTTTCGACTACCTTTTCTTCGGTGCTCCAACTCAACCCTCAGTTCCGACTGAGCCACCTCTTCCACGTGTTAATTCACATACTAATCGCCACGTTAATCAACATCTTGATTTGAGGTCTTTCTGGAAACCTGCACCTGTTAAAGTTGATATTACGTACAAAGAAGTGGAAAAAGCAAAGTGAAAAATAAAGTATAATAGTCAGAACTTTTTTTTCTCACAACCTTCCGAATCGATACTTTGTCAAGTGCTAGCTCTGATTTTTTATCTTCAAGAGCATTAAGGTGTTCGATGAAAAACACGATGAAAAATTAGAGTATTTAAACCACCACCCTGAACAATCAGCCACTCAATGCTTCTGTTTAACAATAAGGGACCTGCTTTAGACATTGCAATTTGCAAATCTGAAACAGGGGTAGCCCTGAATAAAATATTGTGGGTCATTGGGTGATTGTCTTCAATGGTGAGGGTAACATGACTCCGATAGGTGTTTACAGAAGGCAATATTTATTTGTTGTTGTTTTTTTTTTTTTACACATACATGTATTACTTCATTTATAATAAAAACAAATCATCAAACATAATTCTGGTATGTCTGGAGAATGTTAAAAAAAGGCAAGAATATATACTTACATGTTTTTTATGTACAGGTAGACATATTGAATTCATTGTAATAGTTTGCAAACACGTCCTGTCTCACTTGACTCTACGGGTACTGATACAAACCTTTTTTTTTCAAAAAATCATAAAATGACGACTAAGTCTTTGTTTAAATGAGTAAAATGAATAAGTTTAGTCATATAAAGTTTTATTTTCCATTTTTTTAATTATATCCTATAAAGAACACGACAAAATTTTAACTTCATAGAAAGTCTACAGTTTCCTAATAATTTAGATATCTGATATATATTACACAAAATGTACAACCAAATAAGACCAGGAATATAATTATACCGCTCCGTGAATCCATTTTTTGTTTGTATCATGTGTGCGTCAGTATTTATTACTTGACTAGATAGCTTAGTCATGAATTAATTTGACAAAGGCGTAAAAAAAAATTACTTGGCAAGAGATGGTTCTTTGAAGAGTCTAACATAACGTGCTGATTTTTTTTTTTTTTTTTTTGCTTTAAGCATTTTTTGTATGATAAATAGATCATCAGATAACATGGTGGGAAACACCTTTAGATTCAAGTATATAAAAATAACTTTTTATATTTAGGACAAAGTTCTTGTTATCAGTTTGTGTTATGTCAAAGAATACCTTTCTACTAAATATTTTTTTTCGGCAAAACTTATAATATTGTTTTTAAAATGCACTTGCAAATTCTGTGAGGTTTGAACATTATGGTTATTTAGTATTAGTCTTCTCGTTGAGACTGACACCATGATGCAAAAACTACTAAACCACACAACTCAAAATCTGGTCTTCAAATATTTCTTAGAAAGAAACGAATATTGTGTCGAAGAAGTGTATTTTTAAGATAAAGTGGATCCTATGTTTAAATTAACAGAAAAGTCTATATGTTATGCTTTTACTTTCAAGTCATACTTTCCAAAGAAATGGAGCAAAGACCCACTCATCTGAAAAAATTGTCCTATAACATGGGGAAATGATAACTTTTTCCCTCTTTAGTGTATGCATGTTATTGCATAATTAGACGAATGATTTCAATACTTATTATTGACGCAAATTGTAGCATGCGGCAATTTACACTAATGTTAACTGGTATATCAACGAAACTTTTGTTATGGTTGAGATAAAAATATTCCCTTATTTGTTGAAACTTGGGCATTTTCTTCTTCTTATTTGCCCATGTTCTTTTAAATTACTTTTCCGTTACAATAAATGTATACCCTTTTCAGGGTTGTTATAGAACTTCAGTCATAAGCTATTTTTTCTTAGATTCCATTTTTTGGTAGTTGTTAATTTTTATTATTGTTTTCTATTTATTTATTTTTGCAGGAAGTATGAATATATACTAATGCATATGTATATGTTATAAAATAGCGTCACAAAATATCTGGAAAAAAAATTACCCTTGTATTTTCTTCAGACATGGTACCGCTTCTAAAAACGTGAGCATTTAACCAGAAAACATGAATTTTTTCAAAGACAAAAGACGCATTGTTTATCTTAATGAGGAAAATATTTCTCTTCTCTATACCAAGAAAAAAATGGATAAACAAATAATAGCACATTCATAAATTGTTTGCTTTGACACGACAAAGTGCTGATATCGACTTGAAGGGCATACATTTTACAATATGGGTAAACGTTTTACTTAACTTGGTAATCATGTGTAGTTACACGTATCTTGGCATTTTTTTCAGCAACAAGCATACTTGTTTACCTGAAGAAATGCAAAAGATGAATAGGATATACTACACAAATATTGCTGGTTTTTAGGTCAATACTATGATTTAGACACCTGAGGAGTACCGAAGGGCGAGGTGAATATTGTACTTCGAAGGTGACCAAATCATCGTATTGACCGAAGAAACAGCAATAATTGTTTTATTGTATGATTAAATGACACAAATTCTTTAAGCATTCCATGCCATCTTTCTTATTTACATTAAGTGAAACTAGCCAAACATAATGAGAGAAACAAGGTTAAAATTAAACATAACCAGTTGTATTAATTTGGAATTTTTAATTCTATTATTTTAGGTGCAATGTAGAAATATAAATGTCAGGCAAGTATATAATAGGACCGATTTTGAAAAAAAGGGGGGGGATCACAAGGAAAAATTGATAACTTACCTTTAAAAAAACAGACTAGCCCCCCCCCCCCCCAAAAAAAAAAAATAGAGGAGAATTCTCTCAAATCAAAATTTTATTTGTTGCGATGTTCAAGTCCATGGGAGGGGGGGGGGGCTTTCATTGAACATTTTTATCCTTAAAATCTATAAATTTACGTTCTCAAAAAAAGGTGAGGAGAGGGACAGGCCCCCTGCAACACCCTACCCCCCCCCACCGCCCCCACACCTATCCCTCACCCAAGATTCTTTCAAAAACTATTTGTGTCAAGTTAGAATTTCCCAATCTATTTTTAGTCTACAGTGGAAAAAATAAATTCTTATATTTACCTGGAAGGTCACGTGCAGGTAAATACATGTATAACGTAGTATTTTTTCTACAATGCATTGAATCACACGACAAGCACTGATGTATCATTGGTATAAATCATTATTTTTTTAAAAGCATTGTATATTATAAATGCATATAGTAAAATTAAGTACAGCATGAAAATTACACTTGAGGCTTGCTGATAGTCTTTGTTGGTAATAATTAAGAGACAAGGGTTCTATTTAAAAAACAAATTTAAAAAAAAATCGAATAAAACCACTCAAAATAATGTTCGCTAGAGTTTTCTGACATGATAAAAAAAAAGCACACAGGAAACATATTCTGATATATTCGAACATATTGAAATTTCGTTTTTGCTATATGTTCAGATACATTTGGAAACTTCTGGTAGATAGTCTCCAAAAATGCAAAAGAACGAGACAAACGTGTTGTTGGTAATAATTAAGAGACAAGGGTTCTATTTAAAAAACAAATTTAAAAAAAATCGAATAAAACCAATCAAAATAATGTTCGCTAGAGTTTTCTGACATGATAAAAAAAAAAAGCACACAGGAAACATATTCTGATATATTCGAACATATTGAAATTTCGTTTTTACTAAATGTTCAGATACATTTGGAAACTTCTGGTAGATAGTCTCCAAAAATGCAAAAGAACGAGACAAACGTGTTACTCTTGTTATAAAATACATTAACTTGAAATAAAAAAAATGCCATCGAGCTTTAAAACCAACGCTTTGTGTGTTCTTAACCCATTTATTATCATCTTTTATTGGTTTCTGTAAAGGTTTGACTTGAATCCTTGGGCAGCTCAATGGTTATAGGAGATGCCGGGTAGGGGGTCAAAAATCGGATTACAATTTTCTTTTCTTATATTTTTACACAGTTTTTTTTTTAATCTTTCTTCAGTTTCTAATAATATTTTTTGTTAAATATAACTAAAAAAATAAGCACCTTGTCCTTCTAGTAGCAAAAAACTTTTGGTTCTCGAGTTTTTTTTGTTTTTTTTTTGTTTTGTTTTGTTTTGTTTTTTTTTTTGGGGGGGGGGGGGTATTTTAGTTTCTCTAAATAAACATCTAAAGTCAATCGTTTTGATTTATTTTCTTTGTTTCTTCAAAAGGATCCGAAGTAAGACTATGCCGAGCATTCAAACTTTGGCTAAGAGAGCTCGTGATTATTTTTCTATACACTTCAAAGCTAAATGTCCTGAATAAAAATGGATTTCATTTAACAAACCCAGTAACAATGATACACACAGAATGATATCAATATTAATTATATTGTATCATTCCCGCATAGAGAGCTAGATGGATTTAAAAAAGATAATTCAAAGGGAATAAACAAATCAAACTTCATCTATCCTTTGACAATAACGAGTTTTCTTATGTTTTAGCGCAACCTAAACGGCCGAATGTGCAACAACGACAACAACAAGGTCACCAACAGCAACGCTGGGTACGAATTCCAAACCAGCAACACCAGCCAGCATTACATACACAACAGTTCCGCCCTCCACAATTCCGTCAGGCGGCACAGCTTCAGTACTTCCATCCACCAGTGCATCATCCATCAGTACCCTACCAGTACCATCCACCACAGCAAAGGCAGCCGTCTCAACAACAAAAAACATCTCGTCAAAATGCGAATAAGCAACCTTTAAAGAAGCAAGCAACACAAATGCAACCAAGACAACCTGCCATTCAGCCTCGCATTGCAGTTGCAGCTCCTCCATATCCTCAGCTTGTTCATCCTTTCCCATATTTCAGTCATCCACCAATACATTACCAGCCTCCTCCTCCACAACAAAAACAACAAACAAAAACAAATAAAACAAAGAATGTAAATGCACAAAAACCTCGCGTTCAAAAATCAGCGCCACAATCGCCACCAAAGCAACTTGTCATGAAAACCCAATACCCAGCTGTACAGCCTCAACCAAAGTATGTAATTCCGCAGGTGCATTTCCCGCCGCCGTTTTACCAACAACCCCATTACTATTATCCACCAGTTTATCAACCTCCTTTGCAACCACAGACAACTAAGCCAAAACCTACCACAACTACAACAACTACCACCACAACACCGGAACCGGAAATGGAATCAGAAAGTAAATCGAAATCAGGAACGCCAGTACCACAAGTTCCTTGTAACTCCTGGTACATTGATCGCGGCGTGTACAGATGGTACCCATGTCCGTTACCACCTCAACCTACGGCAAGGCCAACCCCACGACCAACCAAGCCACCTCGCACCACCACTGCCAGTCCAACTCCCTATATCACCCAGGAGTGTGACTACTGGTACATCCAGAAGGGTGTGTACAAGTGGTACGCGTGTCCTACCCTGCCACCGCCAACCACCACACAGGGACTCTTCGATTTCTTATTCAACCCTCCTACTACCCTTTCACCCGTGAACATATTTCCGGTTGTGAAGCACAGTCCTGTGAAAGTGAATATTTATCATAAGGAGGTAGAGAGAGGTAGCTGAATATAAGAATAACGATGTCTGTATGAAATATAACTTGGCGTTATTGTATCTTTTAGGTGTTGGGATACTCCATGCGCCTTCTTGTATCTTCGCATTGTATTACACAATTAGTATTGTCCGAGAAAGCAGTAATCATTAACGGAAAAAATATATTTTCATGTACCATATATTTCATATATACTCATGTACAACAAAATGTGAAAAATAATTTATGAACAAAGTAGAAAGAATTTAAAAATCGTGTATTCATTTTCAGTGTAAAAGTTTGTTTTTTTTTCAAATGTCATGTGTTACTAAATCAATATTTTAGATAATTATGCACATTGTATTCTCAAATTCTTGAATAAAGAATAACGAAGTTTGTTAAATAGTAGCTTCAAAGTGCGTTATCCAGAATCCTAAACTGTACTACTATCAAAAATTGTCACAGACCTTAAGATATACCCGAAATCTTGAATCTCTATAAAACAAGAGTTTCTCAGCCGATTCAAGAAAAATATGCCATAAAGCAGTTTTTATTACATTCTTATTTAAAAATCATAGAAGATACTGAAGATTATTGAAAAAATACTTGTCAAAAATATCCTGGCAATATAGCACTAGACTGAAGCGAGCAGCCAATAACAGCAGCCATTAAGCCCGTAGAAGCTAGCAGCCACTAAGGAAATTCATCAAAGGACTGAGAGTACTCTGACGCAATACTGTTTAATGCCTCATTTTCGACAATTTATAATTAATAATTAGATAATTAATGCAACACTTAATTATTAATTAATAATTCAAACACTTGGAGGCAGTTAAGCTCACCTGCATAAGGAAAATTATGCGGTTTCACAACAAACAAACAAACAAAAAGAAGAAAATGTCACCATCTTTGACCGCTTAAGAATAAAACAGCATTGGAAATAGGTTAAGTACTTCCGGGAGAATCCCTTTTAGGCTCTTTTACGGGTCTCAGGAACATGATGGTGCCAAAAGGCTAACCTGAAATTTGCTTACTCCTAATATTTACATTGATAAGGGTTTGAAGGTAATTTAATCTATTTTAAGTTATGATCCTTGAAGTGTGCTTCGAACAATTACTGGCTCAAGGTAAAAGGGTCCACAGGGCTATTATATACGGCCATTATATTTTGGCTGAAGTGGTACCACCAAGTGGTGCCAAAGGCGGGTTACATATTTCAAGCAGCTATTATACCTCTTATCTTATAAGTGTGCTTTAAATCATTACTGTGAAAGATAGAAGATTTCTAGGACTATCTTTCCCGCAATCGGTTTGAGGCTGTAACGGCACCACCAAGTGGTGCCAACGGTGGGGAACATCTTTCATGCTTTCATTTTTCAACCATCATTGACCACTAGAACAAACTAACACTAAACTGGAAAAAACTTAAGGGCCTTAGGGATTATCCTTTGTCACCTTTTTGACAGGTTCCAATGACTAGAAAAGGCCAGTTAGGTAACCTGAACTTTGTTGTCTTTCACATTGTCTATTGATATACGGGTTAAAGGTCAGCTATTATACCCCCTTATCTTTGAAGTGTGCTTCAAATCATTACTGGGGCAAGGTAGAGGGTCCCTAGGACTATCATTTCCCGCTATCAGAATGTTGCTGTAGTGGTACCACCAAGTGGTGCCATGGGTGGGGGACGTATTTCAAGCATTCATTTTGAAAGCATCTTTGCCTACTAGAACAAAGTAACACTAGTGAAAGGTTGAGGACCTTAGGGAGAACCACTTGCCAGGTTTTCGAAGGGTCCTGTTGAAGAAAAAGGGCCAGTAAGCTAACCTGAACTTTGTTGTTTTTCACTTTGTGTTTTAATATACGGGTTAAAGGTCAGCTATTATACCCCTTTTCTTTGAAGTGTGCTTCAAATCATTACTGGGGCAAGGTAGAGGGCCCCTAGGACTATCATTTCCCGCTATCAGAATGGGGCTGTAGTGGTACCACCTAGTGGTGCCATGGGTGGGGCACGTATTTCAAGCATTCATTTTGAATGCATCTTTGCCTACTAGAACAAAGTAACACTAGTGAAAGGTTAAGGACCTTAGGGAGAACCACTTGCCAGGTTTTGGAAGTTTCCCTGGGAAAAGAAGGGGCCAGTTAGCTAACCTGAACTTTGTTGTTTTTCACTTTGTGTTTTAATATACGGGTTAAAGGTCAGCTATTATACTCCTTATCTTTGAAGTGTGCTTCAAATCATTACTGGGGCAAGGTAGAGGGCCCCTAGGACTATCATTTCCCGCTATCAGAATGTTGCTGTAGTGGTACCACCAAGTGGTGCCATGGGTGGGGGCTTAATTCAATCTTTCATTTTCAAATCAGCTTAGGCCCCTAGAAGAAACTAATACTCGTTGAGGATCATTGGAAACTTTCGGGTTCTCTCGGACTTGATGGGGGCCAGTTCAACTTTGTCGTTTATTTACATTGAATATTGAAACACGGATAAAGATCAGTTATTATTTTTTGAAAGTGGATATGCATCATACCTTAGTAGGGCATAGGAGGTGGCGTATCGGGCTATCATTTGCCGATCTCAGATTAAGACTTTAGGGGAACCACCTAGTTGTGCTTTGGTTGAAAGCCCTTTTTGAAGTATTTATTTTTCGCAATATTTGAACACCATAAGAAACCAACACAAGGGAAAGGTAAGGGATCATAGGGAGTATTCCTTTTCAGTTTTTGGAGGGTCTTTAAGATTGGACATTGCCAATATTCTGATAGAAACTTTATTTTTTTTCTTGTTCCGTTTTTAAGAAAATTTAAGATTCGTGTATTATCCCATTATTTTTGAAGTGTGCATGAAAGCACTTTTGTGGCAGAAGGGGGGGGGGGGGGCTGGCTTATCATTTTCGCTGTAGGGGTTCCACCAAGTGGGTTGTTTCAAGCGTTTTTTTTTCTTCGCCATCTTTGAATAATGTAACAAACCAACACTAGGCAAGGGAAAGGGATCATAGAAAGTGCCCCTTGTTATGTTTTAAGAGAGTCTTTGAGACAATTATCTCATCCGAACATTGTCACATTTTAACATTACATTTTGAGATGAGGTTGTTCATTTACTCAGGTGACTTACTATGTTTTCGTTTGTTGTCATTTGTCGTCCATCGTATGTTATATTTAAACATATTCAGCTTTTTCTATGTGACCTTTATATCAATTTTAATCAATTTTCGTATATAGCATCTGTGAGTAAAAGGAGAGGAAAGTTGTGAATTTCATGTTCCTGGCTCTTTTGAGCCGAGTTATGCCCAAGACAAGATGTAGTTACGATATCGACAGATTATTTTTTCATAGTTTGCTACAATATTTCTTTTTTCTTGTTCGTATGTTACAATACTCAATATTTACAAAGTTTTTCTTACTGTACGTATCCACGATATCGCATTGATATTGAATCATGATTATTCAATGGATGTTGGTTACCTCCCTCAATGTTATATTACCTGAATGCTATCATTTTCATAGTGTCGATATCATTTCGATGTCGATTCATGTCTGCTCAAGCATTTCAAACTGCTGTCCTTGCCATTGTGCATGTATGTCTTTGTTTAAATACTTTAAATTTAGGAAGATTGTACTTGCTATCGATATTGTCGATATCGACGATATCGTATGGATATCAAATCATTTTCGACATCATTCTTGTGGCTGTATTTCTTTATGCAACAGTTATGAGTACGTTCTTTCTGATTATTAAGTTTGTCCTAATGTCGATCTCGTACCGATATTGAACTATGATTCCGCAAACCATAATATTTTTACCAACGCTCACCCTTACACAAAACCTTACCCTAACCCCAACCTCCTTAAAAATAAAAACAACCCTTGCCCTTTATTTGTCATCCTTAATTTTATTTAGATATTGATACCTAGCTGCAATAATGTAACCCTCTCCGATTTTTTGGGGGGGAGACGGCTACAACTCCTTAGGATCTCCGTAATGGTGCAAGTGCGGGAGTAATTCACTACCGCACAGTTTTTGGTTCAAATTATCAGAAAGTGGGTATTTTATTAACATATCTTAACTGAACTCATAAAATGTAGTTATGCAAGACATGAATTGGTCCAAAAATATAACGAACAATTCGTAGATCGGTTATTTTTCGTGTATGTCAACATCATAACTTGAATTTGTCCGCCATGTTTACTGACCTTGATCGATTTTATTTTGGAACAACCAATGAGAATTCTGGATCTACGGGAGCGGATCTATATTGGAATTCCCTTATTTTAAGCATAAATATTACGGTTTATGAAAAAATATCACATGGAATGCTTTTATTTATCGATGTTTAGTGATACCAAACAACACAAACATTTATCAACACCGACATTTACTTTATCAAGTGATTCTAAATTTAAAGCGCAAGTCTCAGTACATCACGCGAGAACTGTCATGGCTGCTGAAGAGAACGACTGGTAAACACGCAAATTTACTTTACTTAGTTTTCGCGCATAATGGGCTATGTTGTTGATAGTGAATAAAAATTCTTATTGGAAGTAAGTTAAATGCAAAAACAGTTTATTTTGCCTGCAGACGCCGGCATCAAAAATATAAATTTGCACCATTATGGAGATACAGTGGAATTGTAGCCCTCTCCTGAGAATATCATGTTAAAAAAATCGGAGAGGGCTACATTATTGCAGCTAATTTATACCAAATAATGAATGCACATTGACATCATACTTGCGACCTTCTATAAATATGTTTCTTCCTCAATTTGGAAATAAATTGTACAGATCTGTATCGATATCGATGATATTGTCGATAGCAACGGTGTCGAAATAAAACTAAGTTTAATATTTATCCAGTATTTCCAATTCCATAGTAATGATCAGGATCGATAGCATTACAATATCGATGTTATATTGTCGATATCGACATAGAATTTGTTGGAACCTGAGGGGTGGGGTTCAAACTATCAAATTTAATGTAACTTTTAAAAGTCTTATTTACTCCTAGACATCAAGCAGTCAGACTTTAAGCATTTATAAGATA